GTTGTTGTTATAATATTTGTTGGTAGGCCTTTATTTAATTTTGCCCGGGTGACGGCCGATGCCTTCTCTTATCGATTTTAGAACACTAAAGAATCTTTAACGTGCGCCTCTTGCACACGGGACCTGCGGGGTTTTTCGCCCTTATCCGAGAAGGCTAGGTGTAGATATTTCCTACCATGAGATCGGGGTGTGGCTGAAAGTTAGACAGTATAAGAAGGAGCCAAGGAGTAGCAGTATAAAGGTGTAGAAAGAGTCAGGAGCGCGGAGAAGGGGCAAAGGAGGTGAGGTTTTGGGGGACAGAAAGTGGAGACGAAGCAGACGATTGAACATTGTTAGAGAGCAGAAAAGGATGTGAAAGGAGAACATTTTAGCTCTAGTGTGGTTTGCTTCTTCTTTACTACCAAACATTTATCATCCTTATCTTTCCTCCTTCTTTTTTGTGTTTGTTGTTGCAAATGCCTTAAACTCTCACTAAAACTAAACTGTCCGAACTGAGTTACATAAATAAATATGTATTTTACGAGGCAAACAACCACGTATCGTGTCATCTGTTACGTTTGTCCAGCGTGCCTTTCTCTGTGTGTGGTGTGTCCAAGGCTCTGACCAAGGAAACAGGAGCTCTATATTGTGGTGTCAGTTTGTTTCGTAATATGAATACTCTTGATAGTCCGTAATCCTAGTACTGTTCGTTCAAGGTCGACCCAGTAGTGTGTTCGTTCAAGTTTAAAATATATGCAAAGTGAGCTTTTACGTCAAAAGGTAGATGAATTAATGTTGTGTTTGCACAAGCGTCCTTCTTCTTTTCCTCCATCCTCCTCAGCCACAACCACCATCATCGCCGCTGTCAAGTTCTCCTCCTACTACCAGCTCTCCTCCTGCATCTCCATCATCATCACCACCACCAGCATGAACCCCGTTATTCTTACTCCTTATACTCCTACTCCCCATTCTCCTCCTCCTCCGTTTCTTCCCCTTCCTGCTACTCCTCCTCCTCCCCCACCTCCTCCCC